TGATTATTTAAATGATTGCTCAAATCCAATGATATCTCTTAAATAGCTTAGATGGTCAATGTTATGAAAGAACTAACTAAGAATCCTTTAAATACATAGAATAGCTTCACTTTTGTGCATTTTTGAAAGATTTATTGATTGATTTTAGTCAAGGAACAATCTGATTAACAAATCAAGAAAAATCTTATAGTACATGAATATTTGTTTTTTTATTTGATAGTGAAACAATATTAGCGATTCAGTTTATAAGATATTTGAGAAGGCTAATTAATTTTGACATTGTCCTGGTGGACGTTTTTCATAATAAAGATTGCAGATATGTTTTTGAAAAAATAATGTTATTTTGCAGCAGTCGTAATAAGGAACAACATCAGCAACAAAATGTTTACCGGCTTGAATAGTGTCACCTAATGGTGTTTCTGCATCAAGTGTGCCAGCATCTTTCCAAGGATCTGATATCCATTGACCATTTTTATCATAACATGCTTGAGCACCTGGTCCTGTTGAAGACAAAGCATGTCGATAACAGCCATAAGCACCCTTATGTAAATTACAAGTATTCGGTTGTTGTGATGCATCACAACCTGGATCCGTTGTCCAACCACCAGGCAACGTTGGAGGAAACGCTGCGGAAATACTGCATGGTGGTTTTAATGTTTTGGCTAGAAGACTGTCAGGATTAGGTTGAGACCAGTACCATAAATAGCATGTTCCAATATCGCGAGCTATTATCTCTTTTTTATCCGAAGTTTCATCTTCAGGAGGAAATGGAATACCATTGATCAAGGAGATCGTCAATAAGACGAGCGAAATGTATTCAGTCGAACGCATTTTTCGATTGTAAAGTATTTGATACAACAAACATCTTTATATAGTGGTAGCTTTGAATGCCTCCATAGATGGAGTTTATACACCGGGTCAAAGAATAATATAATGTGTTTTGTTTGCATCATAAATTTTGATGACTTTCAAACAATTGTTGATAATCAATCTCTACTTGATAATAGACTTAGTAATAAAACAAAGTATACACTCTTTGACTATGAGTTACTGATGTTTTCTGGCAGAGGTCGAAGTGCGACAGTGAGGTCGAGCCTCGACAATTAACATGTCGTTTATGCTCAATGCTATGCAGTTGAGCTGCTGTCAAATGAAATTTTTCGGCAGGTGGTCAATTTTGTGAACTAAATAAGATCTAATTTGGACCTCATAGCTACAGATTATGGTTAATTTCTTCATTCGATGGAGAATAGCAAAGCAAAAGATTGATTTGTCTGGACCCATGCGTTTTATCGGCTCTTGTTCAATGAAAAAAATAAGTATAACATTAGGCTTGTTTTCGGTGTGCAGTTGTTAACTGGTACATGTGCATGTCTTGTAAAACGCATTGAAATGCATTTTTTATAGATAAAGAACGTCTAAAAATCAAGCGAAGCGAGCTTCTTTTGAAAAAACACGAATTAAAAGAGAGCTTCTTCATATTGTTCGTAAAAAAGTTAGTTTTTCGATGAACAACGGGCCAAGAAAGATTCGTTTAACATATCGAATGAAAACCCTTTTTAAATGAGCTTTTTGAAAGCGTTATTATTGGGTGAAACGCTTGTTTCACTGGCGTCTTGAGCGGCATTTTGTGGAACTCACATATATTTTCAAAGAAAAATAGTAAGTGTAAGTTTTAAGTTCAAGTTTTTGCGCCCGCCCCCCTCCGCCCATCGCTCCTCCTCATTACAGACCTTAGTAATCAATAATAAAAGAAGTTACATTTTCTAGAGTTTTTTTTTTATAAAATTGATCAAGTTATAGTTTTGAAAAATAATGAATATCATTATTTGTGACTTGATTAATATATATGATAGTGTGTAAGATCTGCTGCAGATATCATATATATGTAAAACATACTTATTTGTCAATCAATTCAATAATTGTAATAATAACAATGATAAAGTAAGAAAAACGAATTAAAAAAAATACAAAATAATGAGCGAATAGCAACAACGAAAACAAAAAGTAGGGCGCCCGTAGAAAAAAAATTTAAAAATTTTGTTCGAAATGCGGAAATTGGAGAATTTTTTACTTCAATGATTGATGATTATCCTGCAACACAATTATTGATTACAAGAGATTTTTCATTTTACGTTTTTTGTATTAGTTTAAGGAGGCTAGAGAGCATATGTGAGTTCCACATTTCCGCCCCAAAAAGGCTGTGCCAACAAGCATTTTTAAACGACGTTTTGAATTGAAAAAATGTGTCGAAGAAAACATCGATCTATTTAAGAGCAAGAGTAGCATTTTTCTGAAAAATTGTGCATTGTAACGCAGTTTTTGTATGAATGGTTGTTCGTGAATGCCAGAGTTGGATAGAGTGCTGTAAGTACTCGTAGTCGAAGGTTGATTACTGGAAATTCTAGATAAATGTGCATTACATGAAACTTATGCTTGATAAAATTGTAGTTTGCGCCTTCACAGGATGAAGTGAACAACTCATTCGCCAACACGCTTCTGCCAAAAAATATTGTTTGTATCAGATAGAGCATAGAATATACAGTAGCATGCCAAAATTTCAAAAAATTTTATAGCGACGA